TTGGACCAGGGTCGACTACATGGGAGTCCAGTGACCCAGCCATTATGCTAACTGCTGGTTCCCTTTTTTTTTTTTTTTAAAGTGGTTATTTTAAAAGCTTCAAAGTTTTGGGACCAGTAGTTGGCGTAATGGCTATGTCGCTGGACTCCCATGTAGTTGACCACAGTTTCAGTCCCGGACCCGGTGGCTTAAACTCAATGCCAGGTGTGTGTGCGTGCGGCCTGTACAAGATCTCGAGAGGAGAATGGAGGAGAGGGGACTGCAGCATGACTGTCCCCCTGGGGAGTGATTGCTCGCTTTCTGTTTCTCTGTCTCTGTCTGTCTGTCTGGAGAGCTCACGTGCCCTAAAGTAAAAACCTCTCCAAAAAAAAAATAAATAAATGATTGAACTTTTTTTTTCATTAAAACAATAGCAATGGGACAGCGTAATGATTACATCACTGGACTCCCACTTAGTTGACAGCAGTTTGAGTCCTGGACCCAGTGGCTTGAAACGCATCATGCCGGGATCGTGTGCCTGCGCGCCCAAGATCTTGAGAGGAGAATGGAGGAGAAGGGCTTGCAGCTGGGCCGTCCTGCCCTGAGGGGTGATTTCTCACTTTCTGTCTCTCTGTCTCTCTCGGTTCATCTGGCAAACGCACAAGCCCTGTAGCAAAAAATCTCTCCAAAAAAACCCGATCAAGTTCACAACCCGTTTTCATGTTTGATCAAACACTATTACACGTCCGTTGGTATTTCTTCTCAGCTTTGGTCTTACTTCCCTGCACAGAAACTCTCCAGTCCTCCAAAAGGCCAGGTAGGAGGGAGGCATGGTAGCCTTGTTCTCCCCAACCCCACAGCTGACAACCTGGCAGGGGAGCAGGCTGTTCAAATCAGGCCTGCCAGAGGGCAGTTCCATACAGAACCCAGGCTCCTTCTCCCGCCTAGGGCTTTCTGGACAGCGCTCCTTGAGATCAGTTACTTTCTTCCCCTTGTAAGTAGCTGGCTGAATGCTCTTTTTCCAGTTCTGGCTGGGTTGGCTGCAGCCAGCCAGGAGGAGACTCCAGCCAGGTACCTGGCTCCGTGAACACCGCCCAAACTGGTCAAGCCAGTCCGCCCCGTGGCTGTTTCTGCCAGGACTTGTCCGTGTGTGTCTTAGAGACCCACCCTTCTCCCCAGCAACCCAGGTAGGTGGAAGGCTGCTGCGGGCACCAGCCTGGCAGTCAGGCCAGATGGGTGGAGCTGAATTAATCTAACCTGGAATTTCAGCTTGGCCTGCACAACAGGTGAGGGAGAAAAACAGCAACGAGAACAGGCAGTTTAGCAACTTGAAAATATTCTTGCGCCTTGCCCCTTACCCCCTGCCTGCAACATAGCTCAGGGTGACTTTTCAAAGTGTCTGCGCCGGGGCTACGCCGTTCTCTCCACCGCTCCCTCGGAGGCTGTCAGAGCACCTCCAGAACTCTGTCCTTCTCGGTTACCCTCCGCGACGCATCCGTTCCCCCTCCTCTGGGAGGCAGGGCGGGGGTATCAGATTAGTCTTTGTTTTCGACGCGAAAGAGCTGAGCGCGGCTCGGGGGAGGCTTGCGATGACAGGGCCCTGGGGTCCGCCTGGGCAGGGCGCTCGGCCGTGACTCTCGCAAGGGTGTCCCTTAGCCGGCCGTGGCCTCTGCCCCACAGGCACCTCGTTCTTGCCGGCCAGGCTGACTCGGTACGAAAACGCGCGTTGTCCCCCATTGTCCTGCCTCGGAATGAACGAACGGCAGCCGGGGGAGAGGGTCAAGTCGGGCCCGGGGAGCTCAGGGCTCTCGGGAGCGCCGGGACTGTCCCGTTCCGAACAGGGAGTGGCGGGAAGTGGGGACACCGAGGCCAGCTCGGCCGAGGGCCTGGGCTGGGAGGTCCGCGTGCCCCACCCGGGCTTGCCGGCCCTCGCTGCAGCAACGCGGGAGGCGGGAGCGGCCAGCCCGAGGGGACGGCCGCGTCCTGGGAGGGCCGACCGCGGGAGTGGCGAGGTACTGCAGGTGCAAAGGCGCGGCGGCCGG